CCAACACACACTGTTGAACATTCGTTCCCGAACGGCATAGCACGTACATGTACGTCTGTCTAGCCTTACAACAGGCTCTCGGAACTATGTTATGTACAAGCTCGTCAGCATACCAAAACACATATATTTAATACAAATTGGCTATACATACCTAATCGTTAAAGTTGAATTGTATTGTCGAATCGCAGGGCAATAGGTAACTGCAGCAGTTATCCTGAGGGTGTGCGTGAATAAACGGACTTTGTCTGTCAAATGCACGTTTGACCTCTTGCTCAGCCACTCTGAATACCACATCGAGGCTGACCCAATTAATCTATATTGCGTCATTACACATTCACTCTAATGCATCTACCCTATTGCAATAATATGTCTTCTTATGACACATTTATTTCATATACACACGTTTCTTAAGGAATGTTCATCATATTGGGGGGGGGAGGGTCAGAGGGTTCTGATATGGTCCAATAGTTTGAACATCAGAACAATTAAATAAGTGTATTAGAACATGTTGAAAGATATCAATGAACGCTTTATACATTATTATCACACCTTTTTTTATGCTTTTGAGATCTACCAAAAATGAAACAAAAAAACCACGCTCAATATATTGTTTAACGTTCTGCGTAATTTAGTTGTGAAACGTAATCGGGTTATTTATATGACAGAATTGTGGCTGCTGAAATGGCACTGCGAGAATAATTATGCAAATTAGCCGTTCTCTCAAATACAAGTTTTACAGTTAGTCTGGAAAGTTCAAACCTAAATACCCACCAGAGTACTGTTTTGCTTTGTGTGAAACATTTTCAATATATTGGTGTTGCTTTTCTACAAAACAAACGTCTGGGATTGTTGATGATGTGATTTGTTGTAGCAACGTGTAAACAGAATGTTAACGTAATTGAGCATACTCACATATTAAATAATTCTGGCATCATTGCCTGAGAACACAAGGAAATAAAACTAGACGCTCTTTTGGTAAGCAGCACATCATTCTGGGAACTATCACAGTTTAAAAGTCCATCACCAAATAAATAACCAAAACGTAGATAATGCCCGTTTTGAAACAAAAAAACTCATGAATACCATAGCTTTTTAATATATTTAAATCCCCTTTTTATTACAAAAACAGTGTGAAGCCAATATGTCTATATATAAAAACAAGTATTATGGTTATGATCCTCATGAACCTGCATCTATAATTGGAATCGATTTAAATGAACCTGTTGTGTTAATGTTAGATTATATGTAAGTCATAGTATATAAAAACTATTCTTTCACAGATTTAAAATAGCCATTACATGATCATATGATTACTAACTGTTTGACAAACACAGTGTAAATTCGTACATGGTAAACATCCTGAGGTAGATAAGAAATGTTAATGAAATGATATTACAATCCCAAAATACAAAAGTGTCAAAACAGCTGAAAACCCAAAACACCATATTCACGAAAATACAAACAAACAAACATGTTACAATATATGGTACAACCAGTGAATGAAAATTAAATGTAATCAAAAGCATACGGCACATACATTGTGTCAGTTTTTGAAATAAATTGTTCATCCTTATGACACTCGCCATATATTATAATAATCATAATCAAATAGTTCTTGTTTAAATTCTACTTCAGACAGGCGACACTGAAACCCTGTGAGATCACGTTTATTAGTTTGCAAAAGTGAAAAATGTATTTACAGTCTCAATCACTATGGTTTTAGTTATATTTTATGATACTAGTATATCATGATGATATGTAATACACTTCTTTTGTGATTTGTGTCTATATGATTACAAAAACATGATATTTGATATATCGGGTTAATGAATTACAAAAAGAAAGCTCAGCTATCAATCGACCACTATCGCCTGCACGTTTATCATTAACATTTTGAACATTGAAAAAAAACCAAGGTGACAAGGTGACTTTTGTGTGTGAATAAAATACATTTTTCTGTTGAAATCTATAACTTTACTTTGTTGCTAACTGCATGTATATACGAATACAATACTAAGCAGTTCGTGGTGTGATGACAATCTTGTATGGTGTTGGACTGAGAGTAAATGAGTGTACGCCTTCTGTGCTTGGTTCCTTAGTCCCTGCAGGTATAGCAAACTTGAACTGTTGAACCATAGATGAGAAGTATAAAAAAAAGTTCATGTTTGGCCAGTTGTTCGCCCATACACATACGACGCCCTGGGAACAGAAAACGTTTGTTTATTACAATTACTAGTAATGATCTAGTAACGACAACTCAGCAATCATGCAATCAATACTGTACATACTCGTATCTAACCACAGAGAACAAATAATAAAAATACTTACCAGCTGAAAAGGGCATGAAACTGTCATGTTTTTGCACCGTCTCTGTACTCGCATCATAGAATCTATTTGGATCAAACTTATCTGGTTCCGGCCACAACTTTGGATCGTGATGGACAGACCTAAAAATGAAATCCGTCAGTGCTAAAATAATGTATTTCGTACAATATACCTTCGAGCATAATTCTGCATATAAGAGATATACATGTATAATAATTTCAATGTTTAGTATTTAATTGTGAAAAAGTTAAATGGCCGCAGAACGAGTGAGTACTGGGTAAAAGTGGTCAGAATATATTATGGGGCGGAGCTATGTTGCTAAGACGCGCACCACTGTACCATGTATTTCTATGGAGATTGTGCGAGCTGCTGTGAGGCCGGTGAAAACAACTAAAGTCGAGAAAACAGCACAAACTAAAGTTTGACGTAACCCGGAGCAACCAAATTTTGCACATGTAGGTCTTGTTATATTGCTCAAAGTACAGTTTTATGAGAGTTTTCGGCTTTTGTTTTAACTGGAAATGGTTGATAGGCTGTGAAAATGCCCGGATGTTCACCCAAGAGAATAAGGGCATTTGTTAGTGAGCTATGTGTTCGTCTTTTGTACGATGTTTTATGCACACACTAACGCATACATTCCTTCATAAACAGCTATAAAGTGCATGGTGTTTGTTTCTCGTACAGGCAAAGTCAAAATTGTGATATCAGCTTGAGAGGAGAACATTCAAAATACAACTCACCAAAGATTTAAAATGACAATCGTTCCTTTAGGAATATCATACCCACACAGAGTACTATCTTTTAACGCCGAATGAGCTAATGCAAATGGTGCAATACTAGCAAATCGCTGTACTTCTAACAGAGTAGCTTCAGTGTATGGCAGGTGTTTACGATCATCAAGTTTTGGAAGTCTATTTACCCCAATACTCTGAAATGAATTTAGAAAATATTATA